TTTATGATTTCGTGTTGCTATTGCAGGCACTGGGTGAGTGAGTATTTAATTCATAACTTTCTATTATCACTTTAAACTTTGATAAGTAGATATAGTGCTTGACAATGCAGCAAATTATTTGTAGGCAATTGTTGTAAACATGGAATCTGGTTCAACTGTTACTGGCTCAAGGTCTGGTCAGAAAAAGCGTTTGAAGAGTCAAAAAGCAAACGAAGGTGAAGACATAATTAGCAACCTACCTGAATCAATTATAAGTTGCATACTCTCTTTCCTCTCAACTAAAGATGCAGTTCGAACAAGTGTGTTATCTAAGAAATGGATATACCGTTGGACATCCATCACCGAGCTGGACTTCGATGATTATGAGCTCTATTCTGTCAAGAGGAACAAGAAGACAAAGGAAAATGAAAAACAGAAGTTTATAAACTTTGTGAATAGGACTCTTCTTCTTACTAAAAGTTTTGATATCTCTTTGGCTATCTATGAAAACTATTCTGTCTGGAATCATATTTACCCTTGACTCCCCCAGTAACACAGAAGATCTGAAACTGATTTTACCTGTCCTCAAAATATTTGAGACAAAAAATTGCACTTTTGGAAAGGGTGTTACTTTGGATGTGCCTCTACTCGAATATGTCTCAAATTTGAGGGGTCCGAGGTAACTTCAATCCTTAAACCGTTTCTGACACTGAATATGAAGATGACGTACCCTGAATACTCTATAAGGGGTTCAAGATCAGACTGCTAATCTGCATCAATTGAGTACTATTTATCAATTAATAGTTTCCTTCACTTATAAAGTAGTATATGTATACTTTAAAAAACAAAAAAACAAAAAAACAGTATATGTATATTCGCATAGCTAGAATTAGGAGAGATCTATGTTTTTACATTGAGTTTGTTCTCCACGAAATTCAAAGTTGTATTCCATTTTGTTGTCTCAATGCAAATTTGTTTCTTTATTTGTTTATCCAGGTTCTAGCACAAACAAAAATGGCTATTCTGCATGATTTTGGAATGTTGAGCCATTTGGAACTTGGCGTTGTTACGATTGAAATTTTGTTGGGCTTCCTTGTCAAGTCATCAGCTCTGAAGACTCTGGTTTTCAAGGTTGGTAGCACCTGCATTATATCCATATAAGTTTCATGTCATACATAGTCCCGTGATTGTGATCTATAGAGACTAAACATGGATTTATTGTGACTACTTACGTTGTTTTTTCTATTTTTCTTACATTTTCACCTTTGCGGGTCTAATTGGAACTTACTTTGATGATTAATGGTTAGGGAATATCTAAATTCGACAAAGAGCTCTTGAATTCTGCTGTTGTACCCTATTGTTTGGCATCTACTCTTCAGGTTGTGAAATTTGAAAGAGCTCATGGACATGAGCATGAGCTGTGTTTAGCTAAATTTCTGATGGAAAATGGTCTCGTGTTGGAGAGAATGAGTCTTTCAATTTCTTATCAGCGGAGCAAATCCAAAATTATAGAAGAATTTAAAGAGAAAGCTTTCTCTTTTAGGAAAGCTTTCTCTTTAATTATTGTTGAATCTCCATGTGATTATTATTATGATTCTGACTATTAGATTACAGAATGGAGTGGTAAGGGAGTACAATGTGTGGGTATGTATTTTGTAAGGGACTACAATGTTTGGGTGTGTATGTTTTGTGTTTTTCTTCTCTCTAATATGGGATATCAGGTATCTTTTTTGTGCAAGTAATTAACTATAAATGTTTTTTTAATTTTTGTTTGGAAGTATGGGTATCAATAATCTAGCAGCTAAAACCATTTTGTATGTGTACATCCAAAAGTTGCATTCTTTATTATACATACGCGAAGTCCCTTGACAGGTTCCGCAGATTTCTATGCTACCACTTAGTTTTTCCACAATTTTTCTCTGTTTTATTTACCTTTTCCCAACCCGTCAATAGCCGATAGAATTTTTATAGTTTTTTGTATTTATATTATAGAAATAATGTTTATCATTTTAAAGGATATAACTTTTTATATATATATATATATATATATATATATATATATATATATATAAATGTATATTTTTTTGTATATTTAGTGATTTTTTACGTTCTTTCTTCTTTGTAGAATTAGGGAGAAAAAGAAAGTCTAATAGAGATTTTATATTCAAAATTTTGATACGTACGTGAGTACATTTTATTTATTTATTTATATTTAACTATATGTAGTTTTGTTTATTACCGTAAGTGATTTTTTATTAAATAAAAAATTTGTATATATATATTTTTTTACAAGTGAAAGTTTAAATTAAGGGAGTAACCCTCGCTCTCATAAATGTTATAGAAGATTCTTAATGTCACGTAGGAGTATATATTTCCGATTGAATGACTTTTGTAGGAACCTACAACCTAGCAAATCTATATTAAACAATTTCACTATAATAGCGATCAATATTTTCTTTTACTTGAGAAGGTCTGGCTTGTTGATCATGTTCACAATTTCAGAGAAGGTTCCTCTCTGACGCTGGATGATGGTTCCTCCTTCCTAATGCATTTTCTCGTTTAAGCTCATGTTCATTTCCCCAAAATAATATGTTATTATCTTGTTTCCATCCAATTCCAATGGCCTGGATATGAGAATGTTTAATGTGTGTTTTTTTGTGCATGCTTAGTGGACAATGTGGTCCATGTTCCCTTTTAGGGTTTGGATTAAAGAAATAGATACTGGGTGGTGTGGTCCCTGTATGACAAAGTGGTCTATGGTTGACCCATTAACAATTAAAAACCCCATGGAATTCGTTTAAAAAAACTCATAAATACCTTTGGTATTTGTTTATTGCTTTGTACTGTTTAAGTGGTCCACGTGTCTTGCCTTTGGTTGATTAATGAGGAATACGTTTTTTTTTTGGTTTGTGCAGATGTCTGAATATATAGTGATTGTTTATCATCATGGTGGTATTTTAATAAGAGATGAAGATGGAGTGTTGACCTACACAAATGGGAGAGTGGACTCATTGCCTGAGATGGATATTGATTACTACAATATTCGCGACCTTGACACTCTGTTTAAGCAGTTTGGGTATGAAAAATGCAAAAAGATGATGTGGCTAAAGCCCAGTGAACCCAATTTGGAATAAGGCCTCAGGCCAATTAGTACCGATTTTGATGTGTGTGCCATGTGTGAGGTTGCTTTAGGTAATGGCAATGAGATACATGTCTACTTTGAAGACTGCATTTCAATTCCTGAGTTTGGTTCACCTCAACCAGACAATGCAGAGGAGGATGTGGTTAATTCCACATATAATGAGGACCACGTACAGGGTGATGATGGGGTGAATTCACATGAGGATCATGCAAAGGGTGATGATGGCTTGAATTCACATGATAATGGGGTCAATTCAGATCATCAGATTTCACATGATGCAAGGGTCAATTCGGACCATGAAGAAGAAAATGCAGAGGATGGTGGTAATGGGTCCAAAACCACTTCCTCCACGCTTGAAAAGGCCTATTGGACGTCCAAAAAAGCATCGCAAGAAGGATCCCACTGAAGAGCTTATGAAGACCAACAAGAAGCTTAGAAAGACTTACACAATTCAATGCTCCAAGTGTGGTGAAACTGGTCATTACCCCAAGACATGTAAGGGACCTGCTGGTCGTTCAAAGTCAAAGACTAAATCGGTTAATGTTGAAGTTCAATCCAGGACAGTTGAAGAAATAGTAATGACTCAAGGATGTCCCAACCCAGAGACAAGCAGCCAACACACAACATTTGAAGCTGAACCAAGTTCAAGAGCATCAAGAGGCAGCAGCCCACCTCCATGCAATATTGCTGAGGTTGTGACCAATGAGACAACAATTGCAGCAAGTACTGGCACCAGGGCAAGATTCATGACCTTCATGTCTACACCAGGGTTCAGGCCACCAAGACCAGCCCCTCATGAATGATTGGAATAGTCTTTAATCACTGACATTAGCTAGGCCTTTTTTTGGGATGGCTCTGATATAGGAATTGATTGGAATTGTAATTAGGCCACTTTTTTGGAAATAGTTTGGTTATGGCCCTGTTGAAATGTGTCAGTTGGATTTTTTTTTTGTATGCCTCTGGTTATGGCCATATTAAGTAGGAACACTTTGTTTTTTTAGGGAAGTATATTGTGTTACTCTTAATGGAATTATGTCAGTTGGATTTTTTGGAATTGTAACTACGATGTGATGAAATTAATGAAAAATGTCTTGTTACTATCTGTTTGCTGTCATTGCTCATTTTTGGATGTGGATTTTTTTAATTGGGAAACAAACCATCTGTCATTAGTCCTTGTACTGATACACTTTCTTGTTACTTTCTTGTTTCTGTCAATACCTGGATGTGGATTTTTTAAATTGGAAAATTTCTTGTTACTTTATTGTTTCTGTCAATACTGGTTACCATAATTTTCTTTGCTGTGTCATTTTGGGGTCATTTGTTGCATAACTGAACTTAGGCTCCATCAGTACATAATATCCCTCATAGGTCATCAATATTTTTTATCGAGGGCCCTTATAGTCCTTGATTACTTCAACATTGAGCCATATTAGTCCTTCACAAATTTATCGGGGTCCTTTTTGGTCCCTGTTAACCATAAGGTTACACCAATGCCACAAAAAGTGATAGCAGACCAGTTGACAATATTTCCCCTTCTGCATAATTCCCTCCACCACATTCCCCTTCTGCAAAAAGTCCTACACATTGTGCCAAAAAACAAAAGTTCAAGTACATAAACCAGATTATTTACATTGCAAGAACAACATCTCATTACGTTACAACAGTGGTCCTTCCATTACAAATCTTTACAGTCCACAAAAAATGGATATTTCCTTCCATTAGGCAATTCTTAGCAGAACCACATTTTTTAATTCACTCCAGCCAACTAGCAACATAAATACATATTACAAACAAGATAAATACATATTACAACAATAGATCCAGCAAACACCCTAGCACACCTACACACATGCATAATTTTCTTCTCAACCCTTTCAAACTATGCATGCATCTTCATTGATAGGTCTTCAATCTTTACATAGTGGTCATTAATCTTCTTTTTATGCTCGTTCACCTCCAACTGCATTTCATCATTGAGCTTCATGTCCAAAAAATTCAACTTGAATTCCATTTCAGCTACATTCAGCTCCAGTTTGTTAATTCTCCAATCTTCCAGCTCCATGGTATCAGATGTAGCATCATCCACCCATGTAAAAAAGTTGCAGTGTGGCTTCTTTTCCTAATACCAAATTAAACTACACTGTTAATAACATTCATATTAGACAAAGAACTCATGGAAAAAATACCTCACCTTGAAATTGGGGCACCTTAAAAATGCTCTATTTGGGTTTCTAATGGTCTTGGAGGTGTAAACAACACTATGCCTCCCACATTTACACAATGGAGCAGCTCTCCTTCTTTCACTTCTGGACCCAAATGAACTACAAGGGCTTGAGCTCCCCCTTCCAGAAGAAATATTCATCGCCTACAGACTATGAAGAACCCTACAGCATACAGGATAAATCCCAATCATTTATCCCCAAATTCAAACGTTCATTCTTCGATTCAATCCCTTTCTTTCTGGGTTAAGAAGAACCCTAAAGCATACGACGACGTTCCTTGGATGATACCCAAATTGATTCTGAGCAACATGGATCCCCTCTCACCAGACGACATCGTTCATGGTCCAACGTGGCCCTCAGCATCTCCCATAACGTTACACCTCAGCACCGCCAGTGACACCATCAATTTTGGACTAACAGAAGGACTAATGTGGGTGCTGTTTGTCTTTGTTGGGGACTATCCAACGAATTTATTTTTTGTTAGGGACTAATTTGGGTACCGAGTTTTTTGTCAGGGACCAATTTGGGTATTTACTCTATATTCCCAGTACAAAAGTATGATATCTCCTAAAAATAAGAACTCAAAATCAAAAAATATTAGAGATATAAATAACAGGGAATGTTATACTTAGTATCATTTTAGTTTTATTACTCTTATTACTCGATTAATTAATGTTAGATCAATTTGGTAGTTAATTTTTTCCACTTTGTAATCTTTGATTTCAAATTGATCTAACGGTAATAAATCAGGTAGTAAAAGTAGTAAGGTTAAAATGGTAGTAAGTATAACATTTTTCACAAATAATATATTCTTTTGTTTTAGTTTATTATGTTTGTTATTTTACTTTAGGGTGAGTTGTAAAGTTGTTACAACCCTCACTTCTTTATATTCTCTATTCTATCTATTTTATTTAATCAATTAAAAGTCAATTTTCTCTTTCTTTTACCATCTAACATGGTATCAGAAGAAACTTTTTCCAGCAACATGAATATTAAGGATGCCTAATTCCTAAAGCCATAATTCATGAATATCAAAATATCTTCAAAGATTTGTCTCACTCTGCACAATGTTGACTTTGGTTGTGGGCTTGAGCGCGGGATTAGAAATTTATAATTCTCACAGATGGTGTCAAATGTTCAACAATGTAGAACAAGAAATGTCTAGTGAGTATAAGCTAGTGTTTTTGCTTATAGATATAAAGGAGAGACAACTAGCAAAGGAAGCTTAATATATCCAACCAATAGTCTGATGAGGGGTATCAAGGGTGTGAGTGTGCTTCCTTGACATTATATCAGCCTTTTATAGAGACCTTGTGGCATTTGGGAATATATGGGATGGTTCAAAGCATGAAATCTAGAGGTGGTGGTCATGGATGGTAGAGCTGGCAAAATGGGCCGAGCCCGCCGGGCTGGCCCGCCCCGCCCGCCAAACGGGGCGGGGCGGGCTGAGTTTTTCAACTTGCCAGCCCGCCAAGCACGCTCCGCCAAGCCCGCCAGCCCACCAAGATCGCCCCGCCACAGGACGGGCTAGCCTGCCAAACCCTTTTTTTTTTTTTTATTTATTTATTTTAAGTTACTCAAATTAGATAAGATCAAAATATTTTCTTCATTCAGACACGCAAACAATCTTGAATCCTGACCCACGTGACATGACAGCGCTGATCATGAAAAAAAATTTCTTTGCTGCTAGAAATCTTTGAGCATCACCGTCAGTCAGCATCCTTTCCTTGTAACTCTTTCTCGACGCCAGCTCCTGCAAGGAAACCGCATGGTATATTTGGTTTAAGCGAAAGCTACACACGCATTAAGTCATCTTCATTCTTTTGATAAACTATCGATTAAGTCATTTGGTTTATCAAACCGCATGGTATATTTGATAAACTATTGTAACCCATTTTTTTATTATTATTTTTGTTCTTTTTCACTATCGATTATCTGCAACCATTAAGTCATCTTCATTCTGTTTTCTTCTTCAGTCACATCTTCATTCTTTTTTACTTGTCAAAATAATGCGTAATGAAGTAATTTTTGTTTTATGTAGGATCCTTCTAATGAACTTTGCTGCAAATCGTTGGAAGTGTCTGCTAAGGTATGTTTTGTATGATTATGGTTTTCTATCATACTATTTTGATTGCACATTTTCATCTATTGTGTGTTTTGGAAGCTGTGATATGTGAATGTAATATTGAAATGGCTATTGCTATTTTGTTCGGTTTTGTTTTGATTTGTTTTTTCTTCTTCTGTGTGTCTTGGTTGAGGAAACTAAGAGATTTTTGGATTTTGGATTTTTTTTTGTGACTTATCTTTTTAATTTGAATGCTTGAGATTATGTTTATAGTCTATTTATAACACTAAATGGAACCCTAAACTTTTTTTGATGTTTAATTGATACCTGTGTTGTCACGTAATACTTAGTGAGAGTGATGTTTAATTGATTTCACATCATAACACTAGTACCCAATTTGCATTTATAATATGCTCTTCCTTCAGCGAAAAAAAAGTGCACATGGATGATAGTACTCTGCATCCTTGGTATTCAATAATGCAGATGAGGAAATTGATTTTGAATTTTTCTCTTTCTTTAAGGGTTAAAAAAAATCTAAATGCTATATTATGTTTGAAATGAGGTCACTAAATTAGTTTTGTATATTTTGATATTTGCAAAATTACAGTTGATTATTTTATCTAATATCTGCATTGAAATGGAAACTATTACAATTGATATCCCTATTGATATTGAATCTAATAATGTGGAAAAAAGTCAAGAAGAATCTCAAAGCAACAAAAGGGTCAAGATATCAACAGCAGATTGTTGGAAATTTTTCACAAAATTAGGACCCGATAAGGATGGTGTTGAAAAGGCAAAATGTAATGCTTGTGGTCAAGAGTATAAGGCTGGTGGAAAAACACATGGAACAACATCTTTAAATCGACATATTGAAAAGTGTAAAGAAATCAAATTTGAAGATATAGGTCAGATGGTGATAGATATGCACGGTAGATTGAAGCCGGGAAAGATAGATCAAATGGTGGCACGTGAGATGTTGGCAGTTGCAATTATTGAACATGATTTGCCATTTAACTTTGTTGAATATGAGAAGATTAGAGAAAGGGTAAAATACTTGAATCCTGACTTTGTTCCTATTTCAAGAAATATTGCCAAGAATGATATCCTAAATATTTACAAGAGAGAGAAGGAGAAGCTGAAGCTAACAATAGCTAGCATTCCTGGTAGAATTTGCTTAACTTCTGATTTATGGACATCTTGTACAACTGAAGGTTACATATGTTTGACAACACACTTTGTAGATAAAAAATGGAGGTTAAATAGCAAAATTCTCAACTTCCAACATATGTCTCCTCCTCACACTGGATTTGAATTGTCTAAAAAAATACTTGGTTTCTTGAAGGAATGAGAAATAGAGAAGAAGGTTTTTAGCCTTACTTTGGATAATGCATCTTCCAATGATAATATGATTGGTCATATTTTAAAAAGTCAACTTGTTATGCAGAATATGTTGTTATGTGATGGAGAATTTTTTCATGTGCGTTGTTCTGCACACATTTTGAATCTAATTGTGCAAGAAGGGTTGAAAGTAGCTAGTGTTTCTTTGATGAAGATTAGAGAGAGTGTCAAATATGTTAAGGGCTCAGAAGGTAGAGCAATAAAATTTAAGGAATGCATTGAATATGTTGGAGATGTTGACAATTCAATTGGCCTGCGCCTGGATGTTCCTACTAGATGGAACTCTACTTATTTGATGTTCCAAAGTGCTCTTAGTTACCAACGTGTGTTTGCATGCCTTCAATTGAAGGACAACCATTATAAATTTTGTCCATCAGTTGAAGAATGGAAAAGAGGAGAAAAACTTTGTATTTTCTTGAAGCCATTTTATGATATTACCACCTTGATTTCTGGCACATCTTATCCTACTTCCAACATGTATTTTGAGCAGGTTTGGAAAATTCAATGCATTCTAATTCATCATTTGAATGATGAAGATGAGGTTTTAAAGACTATGGCTGAAAATATGTTGTTGAAGTTTGAGAAATATTGGGATGAATATAGCGTTCAACTTGCATTTGGATTTGTTCTTGATCCCCGGATGAAGTTAGATTCATTGAAATTTTGTTACTCACAAGTTAATGAATCTACAGCTGATCAAAAGGTAGAGCAAACAAGGAGAAAGTTGTACATGCTCTATGAGAAATATGCAAGTAATAATTCTTCTACTTCCACTTCCACTGATCAAAGTGATATTACATCTCTGTCATCAAGTGGGTCAAGGTCAAGGGATAAGAAAGATTGGGAATTGCCAATGTTTGGTGTAAGTTTATATAGTTTATTTACTTTAAATTCTATCCTTTTGTAAGCATAATCTTACTTATAGTTTCATTTTTCATGTTACAGAATTTGAAGATGCGCAATCATCACCTTGCAATAAAAACTGGAAGGTCTCAACTTGGCATTTATTTGGAAGAGTCATCATTGTGTTTTGAATATTATGAACATTTGGATGTATTGCAATGGTGGAGGGAAAATAGTAAACGCTTTCCAGATCTATCGTTAATGGCTCGTGACTTATTGAGCATTCCTATCACCACTGTGGCATCTGAGTCTGCATTTAGCATTGGGGCACGTGTCCTTAATAAATATAGAAATAGTCTGTTGCCCAAATGTGTTGAAGCTTTGATTTGCATCCGTAATTGGTTAAATGATTTTGATGCCAATGGTAATTTATTTAAATTGAATGTATTTGCTATATTATTTTCAACCATAATTTTTTGTTAATATGATTATTTTCTTTTTTGAATTGTGATTTGTAGATAAAGATGTTGAAGATGAAATTTTAATTGTGGCATCAAATAACAAACATCATGGTGAATCGTGATTGTGTTGGAAGTTTGAGTGGTTTTTTTGTTTATGTTTTTAGTGAGATTAGTATTTTGGATATATTTTGGATGTATTTTGCTTCTCACTTCTAACTGAAATTAGTATTTTGCTAATAGAATTGTCAAATGTTGTTCATGAAACCATAGTCCTAGTCCCACCGTCAACGTCAAAGTTACGACTTTTTGGAGAAAGCAAATGCAATCCGCCAAGTATTGTTATCTAATACTCTTTTCCTTTATTGTTTTTGGTGTTTGCAATTTATATCTAACTTAGCATCCATAATGGAGAAACTTTCAGGTTGTTGCAGCGACCAGCAAATGATGATGGCTAAGATGATGATAACTGGAGTGATACGTGATTTTTATTTTAGTTTTTTTGATTTTCATACATGAATAGTCCTCCATGTTATTTAGCCTCTTAAAGTGATGTTGCATAAGGCTTTGTTGTATTTGTATGTACGTTGTACGCATGTGTGAATCAATCTTGTGTATATATTATTAAGTATAGTGCAGCAGCAACATCTAGTTTCTCTAATTTCATTTTCAATCGAATTTGTCTTTACATGTAGTTTTTGCTTTGAGTCTCTGAGCAGGCTGATTGGTGATTTCCATTAAAAAAAGATTATTTAGAGTACTCAAACAAGTAATTAATATTGTAAAATCTCAATACATAGGCGGGCTGGCGGGGCGGGGCGGGCTGGCTTTCTTAGCCCACTATCAAAAGCGGGGCGGGGCGGGCTAACTCATTTTTTGGCGGGCTTATGGCGGGGCGGGGCGGGCGGCCCGCTTTGCCACCTCTAATGGATAGTGTAGTAATGATAAGGAGATCATGGGGTACTGAATAATAACGCAGGAGAGATACTTATGTCGGGCTACCCAATAGAGTCAAGTTTCGTGAGATTTGTTGGATCTGTGACCTATTTTCAAATAATGGTGGGGCCCATGACATTTGAAAAAAGAAAGAAAGAAAGAAAAGGAGAGCAACAATATCCATGAGAATAAGAAAAAAAGAGAGAAGAAAGATCGAGAGAAAGCAGTGAGCACGAAAGAGAGAAAAAGAAAGGAGGATGATTTTCTTCTGCGAATCCAACGGTGAGACTTCGTCAGAAGGAAGTCAAATTCATGGGAGTGTTTGTGGTGTCTAGCACTTCGCATCCACTGGTCATTTTCCGATTTGGAGGTCTTTAGAGCCACATATTTGGTTTTTCCCTTTGAAGTGTCTTTGGTGATTTTTTCTCCTTGCTTTATCTTTTGATTTTCATCTATTTGATAATGTTGTTGGATTTCTCTATTGTTATATAAAGAGATAACATTGTGTATGTGTACCAATTATTATTGATTGTTGATAGTAGAGATTTGGGTGGACTGCGACAAAGGTCCTGTGATTTTTCTTCCCACGTTGGGTTTCAAAGAGTTCATCGTAGCAACCGAAGCTTTTAAAGAGTTGCTATAGTGAAGAAGTTTTTGAGAGAGCTTGGTTTCGCTCAAAAGATATATGTCTTACTTTGTGACAACTAAAGCACCATAAACCTAGCCAAGAACCCTACCTTTCATCAAAGATCCAAACATATTGATGTAAGGTATCATTTGATAAGAGATGTGCCGGAAGCCAAAGAAGTGGAGTTTGAGAAAGTGCACACCGATGACAATGGTTCAGATATGATGGCAAAGGCACTTCCTAGAAAGAAGTTTGAATTTTGTCGGCTTGTTGCCGACATGGATTCCGCTTGATGATTGATGTTTGTAATCTCCCTCATTGGACTAGAGGAGGACATTTGTTGAGCTTTTATTATTTTAAAATTCAAGTCCAGCCCAATAAGGAAAATTAGGGTTCCTACTTGAAGAAGTCTTCAGCAGCCATAGAGAAGAGAGTGTGAGAAAAACCATAGAGAAAGATATAGCAACCATAGGGAAAAGAGGGATAGAGCATTTTTTTGGAAATCGTCGGAGAAGAAATTTCAACAACAGTCTCCTTTATTCTTCGATCTCTCCTTCGTCTATCGTTGGATCGAGTTGGGATTTTATCTGCACATTCCCAACTCATCACCCTTCGTATTCAAGGGTGGCTTTTCTGGTTGGAGGTCTGTAGAACCACCATAAAATTACAAACTGAAGTAGTTGTGTGCAGGTTTCTACTATAGGCAACGACCTTGAGAGAAGGCTTTCTCTTAAGTTCACCATTGGATCGTATTGAAATTTTGTCAGCAAGTTCTACACTCATTGGACTTCATATCTAACGATCAGTTTTGTCGATCGGAACTTTCAAGAGGGATTTGTTCAGATGCAAACAAAGGGCGTCATAATTCATGCACTGTTTTGGGCAATGAGGTTCAAAGAGGGGTCTTTCTTTGCTTAACCATTGGATTGTCCTCTAAATTGGTCGGTGTGTTCCTTTCTTGTTGTTCTTTAATCAGACTGTTGCGATTTGGGAGTTGATATTTCTGGTAGTTGGAATTAATTTCGGACATAAGCTTGTTTTTGTTGGGTAGCACCTGAATTGGGGCGACCGGTTACATTAGATTGGGCGCAACTAAGCACCCTATTACGCCTTATTTGGGTACGAGCAGTTAGGTGCGATTGTCTGCTATAGATTCGTAAATTGGTTCTAAAATGCTATGTTTTTATAATTTTTTATTTAAATAACAATATTTAAATTTTTTGCCAAACATAAATTTGTAAAATTTAATTGGGAAAATCCATACAAGAACGCAATTAGAATATTAGAAATTCATGATTTCCACGTTTATAAAATTTAAAATTAAGGATAGTAATATTTATCCATGATTTTTGTAAACTTTGATTGGGAGAGGTCTTTCCAAATTTTCCTTTAACAGTTAGAATTTTCCTTTCTATGACCGATTCTGAAAATGACAGCTTTTCTTGCGATGGAGCATGGTGATTCATAAGGCTTAACCCCAATATAATTAAGCTAGAGATGAGATCTAACAAGATACTTTGAAAATAGTTAGTGTTTTTTCGGTCCACCCATCATAGAAATTATGATCACATTAAAGTCTAAATTGTTACTCAATAAAGACCAATGTAAATAGATGCTGAAAGTCCAACTTATCAAGATTACAATGGGCTAATCAAAATAATTTAAATTGAAATATTCATTTATCCAATTAATTTTAAAACATAAAATTAGTTAATTAATATTGTCCACATATATGAAATTTCTAACATTCTCCCGTTTAGGTTATATTTATTAATTTTATATTATTTGAAAAATAGTTTTATTTTAAAAATGACTTTGTCGGATTAATAACTAAAAAATAATTTTTGTGGCCATGATTTTGAAAAATATTATTCCAATTCTAATTCTAGCATTTTAATACAATTCAATCCAACATATAACTATCATAGGCACATGCCTATCAATATATTGAAAATATCATAATATGTGACATTCCATACTCATGCATATTAAGTGTTACATCTTTATGAATCACGAGCCTAGTAGTGTAGTAATATTTACTGTCAAAATGTAATCAGTAATGTAACACATTAAATTTTATCGATCCTAAATACAATTTTTCAACAACATGAAATTACATTAGTGCAATTTTCAAGCCACGTGAAGTTATACTCCTTGATGCAATTTCTAAGCAATATGAAATTGTTACTTTTAATCCAATTTCTCAACAAAATGAAATTGATTTAACGCAATTTTCAAATGATATAAAATTTCTCAGTTTAAATAAATCAATATGTCACAATACACTATAAGATCTCAAAATTTATGACAACTGATCATTTTTAAAGATACTATTTCTTATTTATATATATATATATATATATATATATATGAAATAGGGTCATGTCCCTATATATATATTTCAATCCACGAGAAAAATAACAATAATGACAATTATCCGTTATAAAAATTCAAACAATTATGGGAAAAAGTGATAGAGTCTACAATGTGCATATGCACGTGTTTTTTTTTTTTTTTTTCTCTTGATTCTATCGCAAGGGATATCAATTCTCTTACTCCTACAAATAATTAGCTGTAAATTGTCATTTTGATTTTGATCCACAAAGTAAGGGTATCAACATGCTAGCAGTAAAGTTTGTTTTATATGTTTGCCTCCAAAAGTTGCATTCTTTATAAGGAAATACTTATCTTGTAGGAAAATATTTAGTTATGTTATAGACATAATTAATGTGAATTCTATCATTTTCTTTTCTTTTCTTTTTATTTTAAAAGTGATGGGATCCATATTAATTATATCTATTATATGATCCAAATATTTTCTTACAACATGACATAACCATTTCCCTTCTTTATATAGGAAATATTTTTACAAAAGTCCCTTGACAGGTTCTGCTAATTTCTGTACTAGCTATTTATTTTTCAATAATTTTTCTCAGTTTTTAACCCTTTTTTTTTGGGGTTGAATTAACCCTTTTTCTCAACTCCTCGATGGCTTTTAGAATTTGAATTTGTGTAGTATTTGAATTTATATTATTATGCAAATATCTTTTTCTTTATTTTTAACCTTTAAAGTCAAATATTTCCTCAGCTTTATATATAAATATAAGATACGAGTTTGATTTAATTTATTTGTGCTTCTAAAATTATTTACATTCAAAATATTTTAAGTACATTTTAAAATTGATTTTTCAAACATAAATAGATAAATTCAGACATATTTATAATCATTTAAAGTCTAATAAGCATACTAATATTTTTTTCCAAAACAACATGGCCACCCCACCGTATAGGTTTGGTGCTCAAGTGAATTTGCCATGACTAACTTCACTTAATATTTTGCAAATTAATAATTTAAATAAAATGGTAGAATTAAATCTAAGGTATAGGGTAGAATTATTGATTTTTTTGTGACATAGAATACAATTCTTAATTACTTGAGACTCATAAAATAGGAATTACATGTTTCCTTCGCGGTTGTAACTGCTCTGAGTTGAGCATTCTATTGTTACAAGAATATCTCAAAAGTTTGTTCGACTGCACGTAATAATGATGTTCAATTGGAAGCTGTTTTTGAACTTGCACAAGGCCACACACATACACCCACCATCTATATATAAATAATGATGTTCAAATATCATGGTTTATGTAGACTTTAAAAATATTATCACATTACCATCAACAACAACATAATTAAAAGTGTATAAAACTCTGGAAACAGAGCAGAGCAATTGTCTTCATTTCTGAAACTCAAGCACAGTGTAGAAATGGTCGACATGAAAGGCTCTGAAACGAGGGAAACCTGAAGAAATGCCTAGTTTCTTGAACTGTTCTTCAGTTCTGTGCTTTCCCTTGGCTCTGTAGATTGTCATCACAAATATGTCACCTTCAAGCAATGCCCTTGTTCTGTGACTGTCATCAGAATGCTCTGGCAACACTGGCTCACAAGCAATTAGTTTGCCTCCCTGAGGTAGTGCCTTGTAACAGTTCTGCATTATTTGCTTGCATTCCTCATCTGTCCATGTTGTTAGCACCCACTGCCAAACAATAGGCAGAAGATATTTAACCAAAGTCATTGCAATTTTATTGGCAATCAAAAAGTTATGGTGGGGCTGATAATTTTAGGAGATTAGATTATTGAAAAATCCTAGTGGTCATAAATTAATCCAATTGAATCAAGAATAATATGACTATACTCCTACTTCCTGAGATGACCCCTATGAGAAATATTATGTATAGTTTTTCTCATTATAATAATGAATTAATATAATTATTACACTGTAATCATTGAAGAGACTATTTATTTTTATTATAACTACGCACAGTGGCGGATCCTTAGAAAATTTTTCTATATTTGCACATTTAGTGGCGGTGCCCCTGAATTTTTTTTTGTAAAAAAATTTTAAATTAACACTTGAACCCGCTCATAATCTAGTTGCTTCTATAACAAATGATGAAGAAATCATGGCAATGGGAAATCATGAGAATGGGTATGTGATAGAGGAGGAAGAAAAGTTTTCTCTCTAATCAATTTGCGTTGCTACGTTGTTTTAATCATCTCTGTACGTTGCTACTTTGCTAACTAATATAAGAATAAATATCATTTTTGGTTCCTAACAAAAAATTCGGTCCCACTTTAGTCCATTATAAAAACAAAAAAAAAAGAGTCACCGGGTCCCTAGGAAATTTAAAGTGGACCTATTTTAGTCTTTTTGAGACTAATGTAGGTCTTTTTTGAATTTGTGAGGAATCACAATTTTAATTAAATTGATCCACTTTGAATTTTTTAGGGACCTCCTCGAGACTAATTTTTGGTAAGGGACTAAAATAGGGACCATATTTTTTGTTAGGGACTTAAAATAATATTTACTTCTACTATAAATATTGAACCAAGAGACAAATAATAACCTACGTGACTACAAAAAAAAAATTAAAATCCAAAATCTCATGTCCGCACTTGCGGACATGTGACCCAACCTGGGTCCGCCAATGACTACGCATATAAAAAGGAGAAAGATTCGTTTACAATTTTTTTTTTGTAAATTACACTAAATATGACCGATCTTACATTCTTGATTAAAGTATGAATGGCCATACTTCGTGTAATTTGTAAACAAAAAATTTGTAAATATAACTTTCCTCTATAAAAAAATTACTATCTTAATTAAGTTCTCTATCTTCTTGTTTTTTCCTCCCGGAAAAGAACTCAACTCAGACAACTTGTGATAGTGAATAGCGAAAAGATAGTTATCAACTATGTGTGGTGAATAGATAGTTGACTGCGTCAAGTTTCTTATGACTTACAAATCTACAATATCTTAAAACAACAATAGTATGTATACACTCTTCACAATTTTGTTAATTTTATTTTTCTTAAAACGTGTGTTTTTAATTTTTAATATTAAAAATATAAAAGTAACAGCACTAAAGTAATATTAAAAAAAAGAAAATACTACTCTTATTTTACATGAGATAATTATCTCATATTTTCTCACTTTAAAAATCGTACCCTTTTTTTTATTGGTGGCTCCACTTGAATTCTCTCTATAGCATAGGAGAACTACTCTCATATAACATGAGAGTAATATTTTCCTTAAAAAAAATAACATTCCGCGATTATAGCTCAATTGTCCTCATGAAACTAAACATACGAGGATGATAGATCTTTCTCAATGTCGTCTTTGAGAGAAATTTGCTTTCACGAGATAACCGTTCATAAAAACAAGAGGACAAAGCTACAGCCTAAACCAGCTGTAGCATATTCTACATTAAGTTAGCGATTAGATACAATTTTGTTACGGAGCCGTGTGGTGAACACAGAGCGACCTATTCTTTCGCTTTTTACTAAAAAAAGATACAATTTTGTTTTTTTCCAAACCGTGAATGCCCCAAGTTTTATTATCAACCCAAAGGCAAAAAATAAAATAAAAATCAAATACACAGATGAGTACGAAAAGAGTATTTTGGGGGAATGGAGTGACGCACCTTCATGAAGATAGCATCACCTTGGGGAATATATTTGAACATGTCACCACCCACATGTGTTACACCTACAAATTAGATAATTCACAAGTGACATCTTAACCTCACCAAACAATAGCAAATAAAGAGTTCTTATTCTAGTGAAATATTGGTTAAATTTCAGAATTTAACCCGTTCAAAAAAATAATAAGTTCAATAAAAAAATCGAATCATTTTCTTACATTATTAAAAAAAAGATAAACTTGATATTTCAACTGTGTGTTTATCTCATTCATTAGTAGCCTTCAAATAGGCGAACATACAATAAATGGTTAGCACAAGATCAGCGATTTGCTAACAGCTAACAACGTAACAGACTAAAACAAATAAATACTCTATCTAAACAGTCCTACGGTTACAAAGAATTCAAACTATATACGTTACAAAGAATTCAAACTTACGGTTACAAAGAATTCAAACAATATACGTTACTGTTACATATAATCTCCAACACTCCCCCTCAAGTTGGAGTATGTAAGGATGAAATGCCTAACTTGGGAAGAAAACTAAGAAGCTTGCGTTGTCCCAAGGCTTTAGTAAACAAATCAGCAAGTTGGGAACGAGAAGGCACATGAGCTGTTGTACTATGCTTGGCTAGAATATGTTCACGTACAAAGTGGCAATCTAACTCAATATGCTTGGTACGCTCGTGAAACACCGGATTCGCTACAATGTGTAAAGCAGCTTGGTTATCACAAAACAATTCCATAGGACTTGAGTGAGTGACCCCAAGAGAGGTGAGAAACGACTTGAGCCACACAATCTCTGCTGTAGCTGCAGCCATTGATCTATACTCTACTTCTGCAGAAGAGCGAGACACCGTTACTTGTTTCTTGGTCTTCCAGGATACGGGTGAAGAACCCAACATAATAAAGAAACCAGTGATAGATCGTCTGGTAAGAGGACATGAAGCCCAATCCGAATCACAATAGGCATGAATTTTTAGGTCACAATCCGATTTGAGGAGAAGTCCTTGACCAGGATCTCTCTTTACATATCGAAGAACCCGGAGAACAGCCTCATAATGAGCTAGGCGTGGTGAATGCATGAATTGAGAAAGGATATGAACAACATAGCTCAGGTCGGGTCTTGTGATAGTGAGGTAAATCAACTTATCAATGAGTCTTCTATACCGTTCAGGGTTCTCATATACTGGTCTGTCATCCAAGGCAAGACGATGATTTTGTTCTATGGGGGAAATCGCCGGTTTACATCCACTGAGCCCGGAATCAGAAAGAATATCCAGGGCATACTTACGCTGACATAAAAATATTCCTTTCTTGCTGCGGGCAATTTCAATACCCAAAAAATATTTCAGACTACCCAGGTTTTTTATTTTAAAACACTGATTTAGATACTCCTTGATTGCAAGACAAGCATGTGAATTATTACCTGCTAAGATGATGTCGTCGACATAAACTAAAAGTGCAAGAGACACCTCCCCTTTTTGCATAGTAAAGAGCGTGTAATCAGCTTTTGACTGAACAAATCCATATGCCGTCAACGAACTGCTGAGTTTGGAAAACCAGTTTCGGGGTGATTGGCGCAAACCATACAATGACTTTGTAAGATGACATACTTTATGCTTAGACCCAGTACTGAATCCAGGGGGAAATCTCATGTAAACTTCCTCACTTATTTCTCCATTCAAGAATGCGTTATGAACATCAAGCTGGTGCAACTCCCAGTTTCTTGTTGCAGCCACTGCAAGCAATGTACGTACACTCACCATCTTTGCCACTGGTGCATAAGTCTCACTGTAATCTTCTCCGGCAATCTGATAATTACCTGCAATCACCAATCTTGCCTTATACCGTTCCACCGTTCCATCAGAACGATATTTTATTTTAAACACCCACTTGCTTGGAAGAGCACGCTTCCCTGGAGGTAAATCCGTGAGGCACCATGTATGGTTGTCTTCTAAGGCTGTGATTTCAGCCCTCATTGCTTCCACCCATCGGGAGTCTCTTATAGCATCTTGAAATGTACGTGGTTCATGACCTGTGTCAATAGCTGCAACAAAATCTTGATGTTGCTTAGAAAAGTTAGTGAGGCTAAGATAATTGCACATAGGATACCGAGTACCTGAGGTCACATTGGTTTGAGTAGGGAGAGATGAAGGAGTGTGTGTTTCAGCTACTTGACATGCATAGTCCTGCAAATAAGATGGCTGCTTCCTGGTACGGTGCTGGCGTGTGACTGTTTGACGCAGATTTGCTTCCAGCAACTGCTGTAGGGTTGATGCATCACTAGAACTCGAACTTCTTTCTAGTAAGGAGGACTCCCTAGCGGCAACTTCGTTAGTTGGTGTTGCTTCCAGCGAAACACTCCCCTTATCGTCCAGAGGAACACATGATCCACTAGGCGTTGGGCTGTCATTTGATGCATCAGAACCGTCATGGACAATTTGGCCTTCGTCAAAGTAATTTGGTTCTGTAGGCACACGAGAATTTGGTGCAGAAACAGATTGTACTGGAGCTTCGCGAAAAGGTAAAATATTTTCAAAAAATTTTACATCCCTGGACACAAAGCTTTGTTGCGCTTCTATATCAAACAATCTCCAACCTTTCTGCCCTATTGCATATCCGATGAAAACACATCGTCGCAAACGTGGAGCAAACTTGTCAGTTGGTTTCGGTCTTGTATTAGCAAATGACAGGCAACCGAACGTGCGCAAGTATGTATAATCTGGTTGAACTCCATGCAATTCTTCATGTGGTGACCTGCCTTGGAGAACTCTTGTAGGTGTTTTATTAATTATATGAACAGCAGCAAGAATACTCTCCTCCCAAAAATCAACAGGGAGATTTGCATGAAACAGTAAGGCACGTGATACATTAAGGATATGTCTATGCCTCCTTTCGACTCTCCCATTCTGTTCAGGCGTATAAACACAAGTTGTTTGTTGCAAAATACCTTTTTCATTCAAGAGTTTCACCATGTTATTAGATTTGAACTCAGTACCATTATCAGACCTTATTATTTTTACGATTTTACCAAATTGGTTCAGAACCATAGCAAGAAATTTGCACATCCGATCATAAGTTTCACTTTTATCGGCAACATAAAAACCCATACATGCCTACTATAGTCATCCACCACAGTTAAGAAATAACGTGCACCAGAAGAAGAAGAATTTTGATAAGGACCCCAAGTGTCACAATGGATTAAATCAAAACATTCTTTGCTGCGAGAAAAACTTATAGGAACCATTGATCTAGTTTGCTTGGCACAATGACAAACTTCACATGCCTTACATACTACTTTATTTTGCAAAGCTTTAAATTCTGGAACCAGAGATAAGATATCATAGGATGCATGGCCTAGCCTGTTGTGCCACAAGTCAATTGACTCTCCTGGTTGAACTGCCGAAGCTGAAGCACATGAAGGCTGAAACACATAGACTCCTTCATGAAGTTCACCCAAACCAATCTCCCTCTTCAGCACTTGGTCCTGCAAAATGCACTTTTTATCAGTAAATGTAACGCTACTGCTCTTGGAGTGAAGCAATTGGGAAACAGAGATGAGATTGTAGCGTAAGTTAGGCACATATAAAACATTTGACAAGCTGAAGTTTGTATTAAACACCATCGAGCCTTGTTTTGCAGCATAAGTAATAGAACCATTTGGTAGAGTCACAGATAGAGGGGGAATAGGTGTAATGTCAGCTAATAAAGCCAAAGTGCCTGTCATATGACGTGAGGCCCCACTATCAATGAGCCATTGAGAATGAATACGCTTACCAAATAATTTTCGTCCAGCAACTTAAGAGAGAGGCAGAATGGGAGACGTCTGGAGGAAGAGAGTTAGCAGCAACTGGGTGTGAGGCATCCATTGCAAACGTCGCATGAGCATGCGTATAACGTCCTGCCGAACGTCCTCCCCTTCCTCGTCTGCGACCACTCCTGTTTGGTGGAAAACCATGAACGTTCCAGCATTTGGAAGGGTCGTGATTGGTCCTGCCACAATGAGGGCAAGGTATTCTGTCTTGTGGTTTGTTAGGAACCATCCGCTGCTGCATGGACGTGTCTGACTGCTTCATGGAATCGGTTTGGGCTGAGTATCCCACTACCTGACTCCTCTCATCTTGAACGCGAGAAATACTACGATGGGTCTCCTCTTGAGTGACAATTGCGTACACTTTGTTGACACTAGGAAAAGGAGAAGTGTTGAGGATATGGGATCTAGATTGCCAAATGTAGATTCATCCAGCCCCATCAAAAATTGATAAACGCGATCATGCTCTTGCTCCTCCTCGATTGCTTTGGCAATGGCACACTTATCACCACAATCGCAAGACTTGCGAGTTTTGCTTCCTTCCAGATTGTCCCATACAGCCCTGAGTTTGGTGTAATAATCACCAACGCTATCTCCATGTTGCTTGATATTGGCTAAACTGGATTTCAGTTGATACTGCCTTGGAAAGTTTTGCACTACATACCTTTCCTCTAGGTCATTCCATAAGTCCTTGACGTCATCAAAGCACTTGATGAATGGTTGAAGTTTTGCATCAATGGTGTTGTGAATCCAACCATTGAGCATCGAATTGCACATCTCCCAGGCGCGCCACTCTTCGGCATCATCCTCTCCTGGTTTCTTGACTGAACCGGTCACAAAATCCAATTTGTTTTTCGCCTTCAATGCGTTTTTCATTAGCTTGGCCCAGTTGTCATAGTTGGCCTCACCACGCAGCATGATAGTCGTTAACAAGAGACCTGGACTGTCGGATCCAGCCAAGTAAAATGGCGAACTAGGATCAGTTGTTTTGGACTTGCTGCCACCACCTGG